ACAATTGCATCAACTGTAACATCTCATATTATGTAGTCATGTGTGGTACTATTACAGATATATTTTTGTAGCCGGCATGATATAATATATTATACCTACTCAATATTATTATTATTATTATTTTTATTATTATTATTATTATTATCATCATCATTGATATGATTATCCTTCACAGGGATTAAAATAATATAATATTATAATAAAACCTTTTTTTACTTTTCCAGACCGGTATCTGCTTACGCGCTCTTCTTCCGGGACACCCAAGCGGCGATCAAAGGTAAAAATCCAAATGCTAGTTTCGGCGAAGTGTCCAAGATCGTGGCGTCCATGTGGGATTCGTTGGACGCGGATCACAAAAATGTGAGTATATACCGCAATAATTAATATAGCTAGTATAGTTTATAATTATATAAATAATTGTGAAAGTAGAGCAATCGGATATTTTGCTATTATTAGTATTGAGTACCTACCTACAGTAACGTTGATCGGACGTTGCGGTGGTAGTAGCCTGGACAAATTACCGATTAGCGCTACCTACTTATAATTAATTATATGATATGAAAATAATATTTCTCAACGAAACGGAAGTTCATCAATTTGGTATATCTACATTTGTTCCATCGAATACTGCAATAGTAAATGAAATATTTTTTCTGTGTGACTGACGGATTAAAGTCTTTTTTATTATCAATTCTTTCTCTTGTCAAGCTCGTTTGCTCWCAGACATTTTCTCTTATTATTTATATCAGCAAAGGGAAACATTTTAAAGAGAAGAAAAGCACTCTCCGCGTCCTGCCGCTGTTCTGTTTCGTTTTTCACAGCTACACAATCTCTATACGAATGAAAAATAGTAATCCATTTTTAGGAGTGCCCTCAGTCAGTTCGAACACATTAATAAAACCAAATACTGAAAAGAGAAAAACAGACAGAGACGAAAAAGACTGTGGTGGTGTAGAAATGAGGGTAGGGACAGATGGAGTAGTTGTTTTTTTTTTCCATGTAGAATAAATAATCTCGGAGCTGATATTATGAACATATATGTTGAACGGGTGGTGTTGGTGGTGTAGTGGGTCGGTGGAGAAGTAATTTCCAAAGCTTTTTCACTTGTAAATTTGCACACTGAGATATATTTTCGTGTGTGTACGGGTAAAAAGAAAACACCGCTGAAAAGTGTAAATAATAATAATAATAACAAAAATATCGGGAGAGTGTTAGGGAAAATTCATATTTGCAAATTCTGCAGCTAGTCCTTTGCACAAAAATAATCAAATAATAACCTATTATTGCTTTATAGTTTATCAATAATAATAATAATAATAATGGAAAAAATAACGCACAAAACCAAAAAAAAAAAAAAAAAACAATTATATAGTTTCGTTGAATAGAAGTCCCTATAGACATGATTAATTGAACATCGACATATATTGTGTAACCGTAACAAATATAAATTACGTGTGCATAACGGAACTTAATGAAAAACGCTATATAATAATGACGTACGTCTTGTACACAGTTTACGGTTAAAATGTAACTCTGCGGTGATATATTAGCCTAAATATCACGCTGAAACGACGTACAACAAAGCTTTTCTAGAAACATTATAATAATAATAGTATGTCTGAAACGAAAATACGTTATTAAAACGCGTCGTCGTAAATAGTTTAAATTTGTCGGAGAAAAGCTTTTCGAAAATGCTAATATTAATTTCCYTTCCTCTCGCCACTGTTTTCGGCGTGTTCCGCCGATACATTATTCATTGTTTCAAAAACACAATGTCTTATTTGACACTTAGGTATGTACACTGCCTGCTGATCCGCGTATTTCGTCACATTTTTCGGCTAAATATTTCGATCTTTCGCGGAAATATTGCGCTCGAGTAGTGTATGAAATTAATTTCGTCTACTGCTACATAAGATAATATTACAGATGCGTTTTGGGTGTGATTAACTTRCACAACATAAACCGTTGTCGTAGTTTGAAGCACAGTGGAATCAGTCTGACGGAGAACTTTTACAGCGTTTCAGACGAACTCATAAAATCTTATCAATCATTACGACGGGCAAGCGTTTGATTAGCCTTTTATTCACTGATTAAAAAAAAAAAAAACCATTTCCAAGAAGTTAATGCCCTATACGTGTTCAAATTTAAATAATACTATTATAATAATATACCTATCATATTGTGTACCTTTTTGTTCTGTGTGACAAAAATATTATACGTGGTTAACGGTTTTTTTGAAAAAAAATAATTACAATAATATTGATAATAATTAATAATATTCTAGGACAGTATGAGTATGATATTATTATACCATATTGTAAAATATAGTAGTTACGATCAGTTAGTAAATTAAGCAYTCTGAACTTGAATGATAATAATATAACAAAATAAAATGTTTGCATTCTGTGTGTACATAATACATTATAATATTATAAAGTTGTATTAAATGGGTTGTTTAGGATATACGGACAAAACAAAATGTTAATAACAGTAAAATATTAAGTGCAGTACTTTCACAAATCTGCTGACCCGATTCTCATGATTCATAGGCCCATGTGTATATTATGTATCTATTCTAAATGGATCGAGAGAAATCTACAAGCCACTTCCGGAATAAATCAATTTCTGGTTCCTTATTGTTTTTTTATCTTATAAACATTGTATGATTTATATCATTTTGAAAATCACGGTATTATGAGAAAAAAATTCAAAAAAAAATTCAAACTTATACTTACTGCGAGTAGTAACTGCAGTAGTAATATATAGTGCCGATGGTGAAGAMAATTATCAAATGACGGTCTTATATTTAATCGAAACTGTTATCGCTAAATTCGGCGTTGTGATAAACTGTTAGAACGTGGAAAACAGACGTGTTGCAGTAAAGTCAATAAACCGTCGTTAATATTTATAAATCCCGTTGGAGC